CTTTCACATCCTTTTCGGGTAACTTGCCTGACTCCATCATCAACCTCAAACATCTAAATACTTTGAGACTTGAGTGTAGCGGTTTTTCTGGAAGGTTTCCATCTTCACTTGGAAACCTTTCCGATCTATCCACTCTCGACCTTTCAAGTAATTATTTCAATGGTCAGATCCCTTCTTTGATTGGAAACCTTTTTCATCTCACCCATTTCGACCTTTCTAACAATAGATTTGATGGCCAAATTCCCTCCTCATTTGTCAATCTTAAGAACCTTACTAGCTTTCGCGTTGATTCCAATGCGCTCACTGGTAGCTTTCCCCTTCCACTACTCAATCTTACCAAGTTGATATATTTATCACTCCCCGATAATCATTTCAAAGGTACAATCCCTCCAAACATGAGTGCACTCTCCAACTTGAAGACTTTTGAGGCAAGTCACAACACTTTCACTGGAACTCTCCCTTCTACCCTCTTCACCCTTCCTTCTTTGACTTCTATTGATTTGAAAGATAATCAACTCAACGAAATTTTTGAATTTGGGAATAGCTCTTCACCATCTAAACTAGAAAGGTTATTGCTTGGACATAACCATTTCAGAGGATCAATATCAATATCACTTTCAGAATTAGTCAATCTTTCCACACTTGATCTCTCCTATTTCAACACGGGGATGGCAGTCGACTTTGGTATCTTCTCGAAACTCAAGAGGCTCATAAATCTGGACCTAAGCTATTTGAACACCACCAGTACTGTTGACTTAAGTATCATCTTCTCACATCTCAAGTCCCTGTCTACATTGGATCTATCGGGGGAGCCCGTGTCAACTGCAAAGATTGGTTCAGGTTCCAATCTACCATCACACTTGGATCGGTTGTTATTGTCAGGCTGTGGTATCAGAGAGTTTCCAAAGTTTGTAAGAAACCTACAACAGATATCTTACTTAGACCTCTCCAACAACAAAATCAAAGGTCAAGTGCCGCAATGGGTATGGAAACTACCAATGTTGATGACCATAAATCTTTCCAGCAACTCTTTTACTAGTCTCGAAAGATCATCAAATGATTTCTCAAGAGCGGAGATTATTATGTTAGATCTGAGTTCAAACTTGTTCCAAGGACGGTTAGTTATCCCACCAGTCACTACAGAAGCCATACTCGTCTCCAAAAACAACTTCACGGGAAAGATCCCCCGATCCATATGTGAGCAGAAGTTTCTAAACACCCTTGATTTATCGAATAACAACTTCACTGGCTCAATTCCTCGGTGTTTAGGGAACCTGAATGAGTACCTTTCAGTGCTTAACCTCCGCTACAATCAACTAAGTGGAAATATTCCGGAAATGTTTGCCAATGCTACCGAGTTAAGTTCACTTGACGTCAGTCACAACAAATTGGTTGGGAAACTTCCAAGATCTTTGAAGAGCTGCTCTGGCCTGGAAGTTCTCAACGTGGGAAGTAATGAAATCGAGGACATTTTTCCATTTTGGTTGAATTCTTTGCCGAATCTAAAAGTTATGGTCCTCCGCAATAACAAATTCCGCGGACTCTTATACCGTCCTCGTCATTTATTTGGGTATCCCGAGCTGCAAATCATTGACATAGCCAACAATCACTTCACCGGGAACTTACCATCACATTACTTTGCGGATTGGAACATGACAACAAGTAAAGATTTTAAAGGATTTCATTACATTGGAAATGATGGAAGCTATTACCATGACTCGATGGTTTTGATGATGAAAGGAGTAGAGATGAAACTTGAAAGGATTTTTACACTCCTAACGGCCATTGATTTTTCTGGAAATAGACTCCAAGGAATGATCCCTGAATCCATTGGTCTACTGAAAGATCTTATTGTCCTCAATCTGTCAAGTAACGTTTTCATTGGCAACATCCCTTCATCTTTGGCAAATCTTACTGAGCTGGAGTCACTAGACTTATCGAATAACAAGCTTTCAGGCCAAATTCCACCTGCTCTTGGGGACCTCACTAGTTTGTCTAACATCACCGTTTCCGACAACCAGCTAGTCGGTCCGATACCGCAAAGCACACAGTTTCAAACGCAAGATGCTTCATCTTTTGAAGGAAACCTTGGACTCTGTGGTCTTCCTCTCAGTGAAAAATGCGGAGACGTAGTCGACAAAGAACAATCACAAGAGCCAGAATCAGAGGAAGAAGACGAAGGAGTCTTGAGCTGGACTGCAGCTGCCATAGGCGTAGCACCTGGAGTCATCCTAGGACTGACCATTGGGTACATCTTCAATACACAAAAGCCTCAGTGGTTCGTTAAGAAACACAGACACAGCAGATCTGCTGTGTCTAGAGGGCGTTAGGTAAATAATATTTCCGCATACTTGTAGAGATTCAAATATTTTTTGCAACTAATTCATCTTTACCCTTCCATTCACAGTTGAGAAGAAGAGAAAGAAGAAACTCACCACGGACAAATGGGATTGCGAGTTTGGGGTTTTTTTGTCTAATTCAAATTAGTCCCAACCAAACTATGTTTCGTTTTGAAGAAAATACTTCACCCAAATAATATGATATAAATAAAATAATGGGAAGTGTTTGTATTTTTTTTGGAAGATTAGCTAGAATAATCTATTCTTTTTTTTTAAAATAGCTAAAATAATTTTACTATTTTTTTATTGTTAAAATAACTTATTCTAGATTTTATTTTTTTTCATAATACCAAAATTGTCATTCGCAAACTCTGTTGAAATATGACAGACTCTGCCGAAATATTGGCGGACTCTGCCAATATCTAAAAATAAGCAGACTCTGCCAAAACATTGGTAGAGTCTGCCGAACATTGGCAGACTCCGCCGAGGTATTGGCAGACTCTGCCAAATCATTGGCAGACTCTGCGGAAATATTGATAGACTCTACCGATGTATTGGCAGACTCTGCCAATATCTAGAAATACGCAGACTATGCCGATGTTTCGGCAGAGTCTGCCAGTGTTTCGGCAGAGTCTACCAATACTTTGGTAGAGTCTGCCAAAGACAATTTGGTATTATGAAAGAAAAAAAATCCAGAATAGGTTATTTCAGCAATTAAAAAAAATGGTAAGGTTATTCTAGCTATTTTTTAAAAAAAGTAGGTTATTCTAGGTAAATTTTTTTTTTTTTATGTTTAAATTTAAAAAAAAAAACTTAATATGTGATATTGAGTTTCAAAAGTTTGTAAATAAATGTTGCACTGTGGAACGAAAGTTGTGTGGGTTGAAAATTAGGAAAAAAGGGATTTTTGACAGTACTTTTGTCAATCTAAACCTTTTTGAATTTGTCAATCTATATCTTTTATGATTTATTGGAAACACAAAATAAATCTTTTTAAAATTAAAAATTTAAGAAAAAATACAAAAAGGAAAGAAACACCTATACAAATATATTTACACCACGTTTTTGAAAAAAATGATGTTGAATAAATATTTTATTTTTTATTCAGCGATATCCATAA